GATTGCAGCAACTTCATGACAGATGATTAGTTGGCAGAAAACTTTTGAATGACAGTTTTGGGACTTTCTATGTGATGATCTGGAATTCTGCATGATATTCCTGATATTCTCATGTACATATTTTAGAAATATTTTGACTGTATGCTGGTTGTTCTTTACTGTGTCTCCTTGCTTCCAAGAAGTTCCAAAAGTTGTAGTCAATGAAGTTCACTAACATGGAAAGTTCTTCTGCAGTTCTTTTGGGGAAGTGGAATGACTTTTTGAAATATAATGGTGGAGCAACTTGGAAAGCACTGAGAGAGAGAACAAGAGTGGTTACTTTTCTGTATTTGAGTGTGTGACTAGTAAAAAGAATTGCTAGTAGACAAAAAGTTGATAGAAAGAAATCCCAGATTCTCTTGTATATGTCAAACTATAGGTAAAAAGTAATTGTATAGTGAGATAGGAAATGTGTAAGTTTTCTTAGACAGAATAAATAAATTTAGAAAATTAGCATGGATTATGTTTCTGCATGGGCTTGACCTGCAGTTTTTCCTGAATATGGTTACACCAGTAATGGTGGTAAGGAAGGAAGAAAGGCTATGGTGTTGGGGATGGCCAGCATTAGTGCTCTGTACCTAAAGCATCTGACCCTTATATTACTCTCCATAAAGGGTTCATGCAGTGTCTCTGCCCTGGAAATATGCAGAAAAGACACAGCTAGAGAATACAGAAGAACACAGAAGTCTGGAATACAGGAACCTGTAAGATATCATGCAATAGTTTCTGTGTGAATCCACTCAATCTCTTAGAAGTGTAACAGAATAGTCTTTTGCTATGCTTGCTGCCAAAAGACACAGCTTAGCATGAAAATGACTGTCCCTGCTTGTGAAGTTCTCCTAAAATTGACAAAGTGGCACTATCCACTCAGAGTTCACAACTTTTTCCTTGTGCAAATGTAATATTCCCTGGGAATAATTCTTGAATGGTTTGAAAGGGGACATAGTCCTGGCTAAGTGGCTAGTCCTTGCTAGCCACTAGAATTTTAGTCCAGGCTACAAGATTTTCTACAAAATAAACAAATTAAAATGCTACAAGCTTGCACAGGCAGTTAATTCTTAGCCAGAGAAAGAAGACGGATCATTTGCTTTGGACTCTTGCTTGTTCTTTCTGCCTTTGAGAGAGCCTCAAAAACAGTGACGTTGAGTATGAGAGAGAGAGAGAGAGTGAAAACAGGCAAGTCAGAACATGCCTGTTTGTAGGATGTTTTTGGCTCCATGAAACTTGCAAGAAATTGTATTGCTCTACAGCTAAACTGGACCCATCATAGTATTGTATTTTTCCAAATAAATCTATTACTACTGTCTCAGTGTTGCTGGCAGCATTTGTCTGTCTGAACGGAAAATCCGGTGAAGAGGTTGTGTATTCTTGTGTGTATGTCTGCTTGTGAACAGCCTAAATAGGCACGTGTGGTGTGCACATTGTAACAGTCTGAAGGGGCTGTAAAAACTTCATCTGTGAGAGATACCCAGTTCTTTTGAATGTTTCCCTAATTTGAAAGTAGAAATAGTGCAAGAAATAAGTACACTCCTTTGGATGAAATTTTAAGGTATGTTCAGTGCGTTTCTGTTAATTGTTCCTGAAGACCAGGTTACATTTTTGGAGGAAACTATTGCTGTATAATTCCTGAGAATATTATTGCTTTTGAGCTGTAGAGCTGATGATTTAAAAATTTTGATTCTTAGAGTTTTTTTTGTTTGATTTCTGTTAGAAAGAGAGACATTAATAGATTGATAATGATAACACTTGAATTAGGAGATGGATTACTACACTAAGGCTTTTTAATTACCACAACAGCAGTGCTTTAAACCATTTTTCAAGTGGTAGACTATAGTGTGTTTGCATCACTGTTACATATTCACCTGGTGATCAGTGACACTGACTTTAGACAGATCAGTCCAGAGCTTTTTTTACAGAGCTCTAAATAAATAAATACATTTTCACTAGCAGTGTCCATGTATTTAATTGTGGGTTTTCTTTTTTGGAGAGAATGGAGCTGAAATTGGTCTTAGAAGTGGCACAGCAGGATTTTGCAGCTCTTTGGCTGTGATTGCACCAATATGGCACTGCTTGGATTGCAACAATAAACCATAGAAAGGAAGCTGGCAATAAAATTTCAGATTTGCTTTGATTTTCTCTCTGCATATTTTTCTAGCATTGTTTTAGAAAGACATAATGCTTTTGGTGGCATCATATAGTTCCAGTATTGTGATTTAAATAAGTATTTGACATGCTAATTAACTAAACACTACACTAGAAGTGCACCATGACTTATGAGTCATTTCTGAGAAATACTTAATCATGAGAATTTTAACAGGATATCATATTTTTTTGGTATATGCTTTGTAAAAAATAACTGTGCTGTTAGGTGGATGAGGCTTCTTGGAAAATCAATCTGTACCTTGCATTTTGTTTTTAAGAGGGATAAGAAAAGATATCTAAGTCCTAAAGAAGAGAAAAATTAATTATTTTCTTTATGATATAACTGCTAATTCTCTTGCCTGAAATACTTTTTAGGGCATGTTTTTGCATCTGAAAATAAACTCTCAGGGTTTAGATATGAGATATTAGAATCTGGACACGAATTTCCAAATTTGGGAGATTTAGATTTTTGAAATGCAGATTATCAACTTCTGTTATTTACCTAAAATTCTTGGTGAATATGGTGTCTCTCTGTGTTGCTTTCCATAGGCTTTTGAGGTGTAGTCTTACACTTTTTGCCTATCTAGGCTGGCACTGCTCTTCACTACATTTCTAAGTACATTTTGCTATTTGCCTTGAAGGCTGTATTTTCATGTCATGCTCCACATTCAGCAAACTTCTGGGGAGAACAGCTTTTGCACAAGAAATACAGAAGAAATCTGCTGAACTGGGAAGCAAAAGTCCTGCATGTTTACTTCATAAAAGAAGAAAAAAATTTGAATTAGCTTGTTTTTTTTTTTTTTTTTTTTTTTTTTTTTTGTTGTTGTTGGGGTGTTATTTTTAGGAGGTTTTTTTTTTTCCTTTTGATAGGAAATTACCAGATACAATCAAAGCCTTGCAATAGCTAACCTCCTGTGTGTGATTGCTGTTATGGCAATAACTGTCTTTTGTAATAATAAACTATTTCTCTCAGGGAGCCTTTTTGCGACTTAAGCAATCCTGGGAGAAATTAAGTGTTGCTCCTGGCTGAGGGAGGGTGCCAGGTTCAAGCACTTCTCTAACAGCCTTTGGAAACTTTTAAAAAGCCTTTTCCACACTTGAACATGTGTGGAAAAACAGTTTGTGAGTTTCCCATCACAGTCACATACTTCCTGAAAGAGCCATGAAAAAGTTTATGTGTGAGCTTAAGGTCCAGGTATGAAAATGAGCAACAAGTTCGGATTGGTAATTGGTCCTAGCTAACAAATCATATGGTGCTACAAAAAGATAATTTTTTCTTGGGGTTTGGTAGATTAATTACTGGTATAAAGCATTCTGTAATGTGGCATAGCCAAATTAAAAGTTAGCATTCCTATCTTTTCAATTAATTAGTAGACCTTATTTCAAACCCTCATTTTCCTCACTCATACAAAATATTTAAGTACGACTCCTTAGATTTTATGGAACAGAACATTGACTATGAGTGTAGACACATTGATTTCAGTATATTATAATTAGTAATTGTTGGCATGATCTTCATGTGTGTTTGGAAATAAACTAAAATTTCAGGCTTACAAAATGCAGGCCACATTTTTAACAATGAAGCTGTTTTCTCCATTCTGTATTGCTTCTGTTGCCCTTAAGATATTGGGGTGAAGAAATAAAGTAAATTCCATCAGCTAAAAATAACAAAGATAACAGAAACACATAAATCAAGTATAAATAATAGCAACAAAAGTGAACTGAGGATTTAAAACAATAGTTTGTCTCTAACAGCAGGAGGGAATAAAAACAGAGCAATGAAATATCCTTTAATGGTTTTGAATAATTATTACTCTTGTTTAAGCCAGTTGATTTTTAAATATTGGAAACTTTTCACACACACATGCATGGCATATCTTTTAAGAATCACACCAATATTTTGTATGTAAATTGAAGTAAATTAGAATGTATATTTCAAGTCTTAGATATTGTCATACTAGACCATAACATCAAAATAATTATTTGATCAATTAACAAATTGAGGTGCAAATGGTTGAATATTATTCTTAGGCTTAATCCAAACGTGTGATTTCCAGTACTGCAGTGGTTAAAGACAATTTAACCTTTGTTTGCTTGTTTGTTTTATTCAGGTTTACAATAATGAAGGTGTACCCTTCTTATTTATGTTCCGAGAAATACAGTTAAGTTAAAAAGCCCCATGAACATCAAAATATGAGGCTCTTTTAATGAAAAATGTTATGCTTTACAAGACTTTAAAACTCCATATATAAAGTATTTGTAACACCGAAGTCTTTAAGTTGCACTTAGTAAAGCATTAATTGGCATATCCTAATTGAGTAGTTACAAATGTGTTGCTGTGACACTCAAAGCGTTTATATGCTGGGAGTGAACCTGGGTTGTTGTGGTTTGACTTTTTTCTTTTTCTTTTTTTTTTTTAAACTCATTTTCCAGTGGACTGAATATATTAGTGATGAATGTGCTGTGAAACTAACTGTTTGTTTCCATGCTGGAAAAGTTTCATGGCTCCAGCAATTGCTAGCCATTTTACCACACAGCATCCATCATTTTGTCAAAGTTTTAATGTTTTGTAGTGAACCACCTAGGAAAGAAAGGAGGAGAAAAGAATGACAAAACAGCCTAATTCTTTCATTCCATGCCAAAAAACTGACTGAAGTTTATCCCTGTTTGCCCTTGGAACAATTAATGTGACATTTTCCTGAATGCCATACTAAATTTGATTGTCAGTTATTGAAATGTATGTTTAAATCAGCAGTGATGCAACTCCAAATGCTTTTTTCATTAATGTCATTGAAGCCTTAACCCACTACCTTTGACACATAACAGAATTAGAAAGCCTTTTGGACCATTTGGCTGAAGTTGTGCCCTCATTACAGTATCTCAGTTTGCTTGGAAACATTGCTTGCCCAAATGAACTGGTCTGCAAAGAAAAGGATGAAGATGACTACCAAAGATACAGGTTAGTGTTTTCATTTGTAGATGTGTTAAGGCATGAAAGTTTTGTTTTACTACTGGAAAAATGCTAAATTAAAATCAACCCAGAGTCTCAAACAAGCATCTACTCTGTTCTGAAAGCATTGTAACATTCTGCCATGAAACACCTGGGAATTTGAGTAGCCCCCATTTCAGTGAGGTCATACTCAGGAACCCTGTTTCAAGAAACATTTCAGTGCTGTATAGCACATGTCTGAGTTGAGCAGGTGTGCACAGGATTTCCTGAACGTGAGTATCACATACCCCTACTCATGGCATTTCCGTCTTTAAGGCAAGGTTTGCATACATTAAGGGTGAAAGGTGATTAAAAAAAATGTAAAAAAAAAAGTCATTCCACTGAGGTAGCCAGTTGCCTTGTCTTCTGCTCATGTTTGATATGGTGCTAAGTTGGTTCTACTGTAGTTATCAAGGCACTATTAACACAGAATAAATCACTCCTCCTATATTGTGCTGCTTCACTCAGAGCAGTTACATTCCAATAAAAAAACCCCAAACTGTCTTTATAATGTAATGTCAATGAGCTGGATTACACAAGATATCACCTGAAATTTAATATGAAGACTTGATAAAATACTATAAGTCCAACTGAAACATTGCTAAAAGTTGTAAGGATTATTAAAAAAACCCCCAGAAATACTCAAAAGTGATGATGGTTATGAGTACAGATCCATAACTTATGGAATGTCTGCTAAGTGATGTAATTTTCAGAGCTACAATCTTAAGAGAGGTGAAACATTGGTTATGCAGGGGAAAAAAAAAGACATTAGATGTATTTTTCCTTGCTACCATCTGAGGCATTATTTCAGTCCCTGTGTGCTGTCACTTTTCACATTGGCTCCAAACAGCATTTGGAAGCAAGTTGGAGCCAAGTAGTGCTGGTCACCTTGCCTTGCAAAGCCTGAGCTTGCTTATTAGGATCATTCACAGTATTCATAATTTATATAATAAACTCTGATCTTATTTTCAGGTAATCCAAACTGTGCTCTAGGAGTTAGGATAAAACAATACAAAGTTGAGAAGACTAAAAGCAGTTTTATGGGGAATTTATAGGCTTGAATTTGTTGCATTCAGAAATGGTGAAGGTTAAACAGCAGCACAACTGTCCCAGATGTGCACATGTACTTTTTAGTTTGTTTCAAATTTTTGAGAAGGATTTCTAGGTTATCACATTTTCACCTGTTAATGATTCCACTTTTGAATCCAGCTTAGCATTTTGGTTTTCATGGAGTAGAGCAGCCTAGGTTTAATAAAATATTTTCCCATTGCTTTCACACTTAAGTGGAAGGTATGCCTACTATCCAGCTTACAAGACTATAATAGTGCTGTCTCTATGTAAATTTATGTGACATGTGCTCTAGAAAATTGCTTAAAAAATGAATGATATTTCTACAGTTTACTGTTTTTCACTTTAAGTATGTTTTCTGACAATATGTCTCCTATTAATCATTTAAGCAAAAGTAGTATGTTAAAGGAGCCATTCAGAGGCAAGAACCCATGGTTCATTTAGTGCTCTCTGAAAGATTTCCTTATTGATTGACATCCTCTGTGGTTATGTGATGTAATATTTATAATATGTCACAGGGCCATACATCAAAACAAGCATGTCCCTTGTTTCATTTCAATGCAAAAATGTTGATTTCGGAGAGGTCAAGGTAGTTTTAGGTCACATAGTGGTAAACCACTATGTCAAAGTGTGAAGGGATTCTATTTATATATTTGCTAGAAACTACAACATTGCTTCCAATTTCTTTCCTCTCAATTTTTCAAAACCCTGGGTGTTTTTTTCCATATAAACTAGGTTGATTGAAGTACTTTTAAGAAAGAAGAATGGGCTTCTAATTAGTTGAATGATTTATGGTTCTGCTGCTATAATGAAAGTTTCCTGATCCTTTTCCGTTATTATTTGTTGCATTATATGAAATGTATTTGCTACACAGTTTTAGATTCAAAACCCAAACCCATGGCTCGATCAATCGATCTATCTGCCTGTCTTTGGGGGAATGTATATCACCTACATGATGGAACTGATTACAACTGCCCTTCTCATTTTACTCTGAGTGGCTAATTCAGAGTTTTCAATAAACATTCTGAAGCATCTTGAACACAACTTCTGTCTTCCGGTTTCAGCATTATTTAATGGCTTGAAATAACTTATTTCCTAAAATTTTTTTTTTTAGAAATTTATCAGAAACGATCAAAAGATTACCTTCATGTGAAGTTGAATTATGTAGAACTTGAATTATGCAAACATTGTGCTTCTCCGTAACTTCAGCTGGCTTTATTTTGTTCTGAAAGGGAACTTGTAAATTTTTGCAGTGACCATTGGAACCAGAGCTTCATTTTTCATTGAGCTTTAATTTTGTTCCTACTGAGTTCAATTAGAGTTCAGGCTATTTAATTCCTCAACCAGAAAGAGAAAGGTGCTAGAAATCAAAGCTTTACTTAATCTTCTAATTCCAACAAACTGAATTAGAAGATCTGAATGAAAAGATCTGTTAACCCCCCAAAATCCTAATGTTAAAAAATGTGGAAAATATTTTTTTTAAAAAATCCAAGTTCCAGTAATTCACAATGATCATAAAAACAGAGGTTAAATGTAATATTATTTACTTCAAAAATAACTAGGTTTTATCAAAAATACTTGGAAAATATACAAAAGTATGCTTTTGGTCAAGAAATTCTGATCTGGTTCTTCAGGTGATCCATTGGTATACCATTTCTATAATTTCAGTACTAGGGCTCTTTTCTAGTTTAACATTAAAACTACATTTTATACTGAAACATTATTGTGGTTTTTTCCTTAAAGTAATTGAAGCTTTCTGTATTTGGGTGTTAATATTTTGTAAAGGTATATTTTGGGCAAGGGAAAGCAGAATAGCTAATATGTAATGGTGATAGGAAAATTTAAAAGCTTTTGGCTACAATACGAAGCAAGAAACACAGAAAAATAGCTTGCAAAACAGTGTCCTCTAAAATAGCCTAGTCTCCAATCTCTGCTTTGAAGATTGCAGGAAAACAAAGGTCATGACCCAGAGATCAAAGTAGCAGGAGTCAACACAGTAATTGCTGGTTGCTTCTGTTGTACTCTCAGTTGGTCAGTCCTGTGGGTGCATTGTTTGCAGAGAAAACTTCAAACGTGGTGTTACTGAACTGTGAAAACTCATCTGGGTCACAATGTATTACAAAGCATTTGTGAATCCTGCAGGTGACCTCACCTATTTTCATTAAAGCAATATGATTGTGAAGAATTCATGCCATGTGTGAAGTTTTCAGTGGTTGTTCATTCTTCTTTGCTCCTTATTGACGTTTCCTGGAATGATGCATTCATTAAATGCTGTTGACATGGAAACAAGGGCAAGTGGAAACAAATGCTGGAGTTTATTTTAAATTAGCTTACAAGTACATGTACTAGATATGCTATCTTTGGCTGGGGGAGCAAATGATGATAACCTTATGAAGTCCTCTTAAGATATAACAGCAAGAAAGGAAGTGCATGTGTTTTGCATGGATTAACTTTTAAGCTAAATCAGCTATTCCCATCCTACAGTTTTTATGGTGAGAAATTATGGGTCTCCTAGCATTTTCAGTGTTCTTGCAGTTTTGTTTTGTTTTACTGTGGTTTTATTTATTTTTTTTAAATTGCTACAAAATTTGCTTTTCTATTTTAAATAGTCTTGTATTTGGATGGGGATATAAATATATATGTTCAATAAGTAGAAGTAGGCTAGAAGTCCTCATTCAGTCATGAAAATAATGCTAATATGGAATGATGAGTACCAGTGAGCATGTTGTTGAGGCTCTCTTTAAGCAGGAGGGATTGAAGTCTGTGGTTATTCTGTGTATGTTCTTTATGAACTTAATTAGATGATTAGGTTATTCCCTTACATCTTTATAATCTATGAACCAGTGCTACTTCAGTGTTTGAGTGAAGGCTTGTTATCTCACCAGTACCTGGAAGGAAAAGTGTGCTTGGAAGACATCAAAAGGCCACACAAGGTCCATCACTAGCCACTGGAAGGGTTCACGAGCAAGAACAATTACCATGTTTTTGTTCAGCCAAATAAATTGAAGTCCATAGTGCCCAATTTGTCTGTACTAACACAGTGAATCAAGTGGAAACTGTAACTACTGTTACATGTATAGAGAAAGATTTTTCTAACTCACAGAGTTGTTTGCTACAGTGAAGAAGAGCAGAGTATGTTAAAATACTGGGAGGTGGTGTGGATTTCTATGTGACTTGCAAGCCCCTCAGAATTACATGGTCATCACCAAACAGAGCCAAGGCTGCTCAGGGTCTCATGTGATCCTCTAACATACCTCATGCCAACATCCTGCCCTCTCTTCTGGTTTAAGTTTATGACCTGTCTTTCTTATCTGTGTATTTAACAAATGTTTTTGTTAGAGAGTAAATTCTGTAGCCAGCTATATGCTGTTTGAGGATGCAGAAGAAGCAATCACAGAACATAGTGTTTATGACACTACTTTGCTGTCATAAACAGGTTTCAATTCTTCTCGTTTCTTTTTTTTTTTTTGTCTTTCCCCATTTAAATGCTGATCTAACTTAGCCAACTTCAGATTACTTATTTTTTCTAGTTTATAATAATGTGACTGAGAGCATAATCAGTCCTTCAAAGTTTGAAATAGGCATATTATTTATGTTCTGTGATTGCTAAAGAAAGGAAATATAATAGCATAGAAAAATGAAGGTAAACACTTTCTGAAACAGAGCATGTTGCAGGTATGATAGAGGTAGAGCTGGAGACTTCTGCATTCTTGTGGGCGAATATTTCTCAATTTTTCAAAGCAGATTTTTTTTGTTTTAAAATTAAATATTGATGCATATAGTACAGTTTTATGTTCCAGTTTCTGTTAATTATAGTACAAACTGGAATACTATACAGAATCTAGTTCTTACAATAGTCTTTCACTAAAGAGTCAGTGGAAGAGTTTGCAAATGTGCCTTTTTTCCCAATATCCTGGCAGGTCTCTATGAAAAGTCTTAAAATTATGCTTATTGCATGCAGCCCATACATAATTGGTAAATGAATTGTTAATCTTTATTGTAATTTTTACTAAATTAAGATGTAAATAACATGAAATTTTATATTCTGTAGTTGTTTTCCATATCTAAGTCGTCCTATTGCTATGATGAATACCTTTTATGAGCTTATTTTCATGACAATTATGGCACCCATGCCAAGAGTCAAGGTGGGGGAGATGATTCTGAACAAAGGAAGGTGCAGCATTTCTTAAATAAGTAATTTCTTTAATCCATTGTGAATTACATGACCAGTTTACAGGCAATGATAAGTGGATCTATAAGCACCTTCCTGTTGTGTCTAATTTTTACTTTTCTCTCTTTGAATCTCACCTTTATCCCCAACACTGAAGGTAATAACCTTTTTTCACACCACAACAAAGGTGTTGAAACTCAGTAACAGCAGTTTCAGAACACATGGAGCTAAGTTTTTGAATTATTAAGAAAAAGAAAGGGGGAGGGGGAATAGGGAGACCCTGCCCCCCAAATTCTAATCTAAATAAACCTTTCTAAACTAAATGTAGAAACTAGATGGATCTTTCTTCATTAACCAGTATGCTTTTAACTAGTGATTTTACAAGTCTGAAACAGGTGCAATGTGTCATGCAATTTATGGGTCCCAATGCCTGCCATAAAGTATTTTATGATGCCTGTGTTCTGTGTTATTAGTAGCTGTCTTTTTCTGCAGCCATTGGTGTTTGATAATAGTCTTAAAACAACCAAAATTACTTACCTGCAAGCAACATTCCATAGTCCCTGTTGACAGTTTGAATAAGTTTAGTGCCCTTTTGTTGTACTTTGCCTTCAAAACAAACTGATTGAACCATCAATAGCTCCTGGAAGCTGACAGAGGCATGTCATCTGGTCTAACCCTCTGATAGTAGGTTATCTGTGGGAGTTAACCTCCCTGCATTGTTAACTGAAATGTTTTATGTACTATGCAACTTTAGGATACTGCTGTGATAACCTTAGTAACTAAGTCATACATCACAGTAAAGAGATTTTGTGCAACAAATAACCCTGGATTAAATTTACAAGGGTTGAATTGATATTGTAGAGTGTTCATTCCCAGGCTTTGGTAATCCTTTCCTGTATTTTTTTATGGCAAACTTGTGTTGCATTTAGATTGAAGCTGCATTTTCATGTTTCTAGCTAAAACATATCCAGGAAGCTTGCTGTTTTTCTTCAGCTGTTTAATATGAATGTATTGCATTATTTTCAAATTGCATAGATACCTTTTATCCCACATTTAGTAAAAAGAATATTAATAAATGAGATTACATTTTGAATCACCTTTTAAAAGAATTAATTGCACATATACCTTTCTTCTACCAGTGGGATAATATTTGTGGTACCTACTTTTTGGTATTTGCTCTGCTTAAGGAGTGCAAGTTTGAAAAAAAGAACCAACCCCAAACCTGTGACATGTGGAGTAGTTTGATGTTTAATTTGTGTGGGTAGGGTTTTTTGGTTTTGTTTCTGGAACTGACAAGTACTAGTGCTAATTCTGTTTTTTGAAATGCAGTCAGGATGGCTTAAAAATACAAAAATACATTTGTATCAAGGAATGCTATTATAATTTTAAGCTCTTTTGAAATGATTGAGAGACTGACATTAGGGCTGTGATCCAAAGTCAGCATAGATGACAGTGCTGTCTTATTCTGTTGTCATTTTTGTTGCAGCCTGCTTTTCAATGGCATATTTCATTCCATCATTAAACATTTGCTGATTTTCTAATACCGATGTTTTCTTCACCTGAATATTCATCTTTTCTCACCCTACACTTAGTGGGTGTCTTTACTCATCTTTAGCTTCACTCTTCTTCACTCCTGACATATTGTTTCCTTCTGTACATGTCTTCATTTGAAAGAATCTGTTGTCATCAGAGCTTTTCTGCCAGTAATGCAAGATGGATAGCTTCTCCTCCAGTGAAAGATAAGGGCCAGGAAAATGCCAGGGAGGACTGGAAGGGCAGCCAGGAAAGCTGGAATGAGTCTGAGAATGTGTCTGTCTCAAAGGTCTGTAGCTGTTGTTTAAAAAAATGGTCTTAGGAGATGTTCTGGTTTGTGAAGTGACTTTTTTTCTTCTACCGATATAATTGAGAGCCATAGATTGAGGATTCACATTTCAATTGTCTGAAAATTTCAGAACTGAGTATTGTCAGTTAAGTTGTTAACAATTTATGAAGGTGTTGCTTCAGAGGAATGGTGTACTTGATGGAAAGCTTTATTGCACCATTAAATTTTGCTTGGTTTTAGAAGGGGGAGTGTTCCAGTAATTTTCACGTTTATCTGGTTTTGACAACAGTATCATAAGATAAACTTTTACTTTGTCAAAAATTTTTTTAGTGGTTTTTTTTTTTTTGTTTTTTGTTTTTTTTTTTCAAAATGTTATGCAGAGTTTTCTATTTTTTTAATTTCTTCCTCCCAGTGCCAGAGAGGATCAGTGTGATGAGGAGCTCTCTGACTGACTTGGGGTTTATGTAAAGCAGCTAGGCTGGGGAACATTATCATCACCTTTCTACCCCCTGCCAGGAAAAGTCTGATATTGCCCTCACTTTGCAGTGTCTGCTTCGCATTTGGTTGACTAAATGCAAGTGATTTGCACTTGAGGTGATTAGATATTTGGATTTGCCATGGTTGTGCCTTGCTTTGATTTTGCTCTGCCCTGTTCTCTCCCTGCGCAAGCGAGAAGCTAGTAGTATTTTTCTGAGACTAGAAAGCTGCTACCCTTCTAGTAGAAATGATAAATAGAATATAATACTGATGAATCCTAATAAGAACTCGGAATTCTTAAAATATATTTCTCATAAATAGTCTCTCCATGTGTGCTTCTGCACTTAATCCTGAGCTGGAATCTGTATTCTGTGAGGTCACCTTGTCTCTCTGGTGGGATCAAATTGGAGTTCTCCTTCCAAAGGCTGATCATTGTGTTTTTAGGAAAACATAATAAAAAATTCAAAGAAGTGTTCAGAAATGGTAAGAATTCTTGCAGAGAACTTGGCTGGCAATTTCCCATGTCTCAGATTGATTTTCTCCCACAGTGTGGGTTGGAATCTTTGGTATCACTCAAAATTCCTTTTCCCAAACAGGCAGTGCAAAACAATTTCCAAGTTATTCTGTTCCTTGGTATGCTTTATACCTCACTCATACACAGAGAGAACATACAGGTCCATGGTGATTATTGTGTTTGATCCACCAGTGTAAATGGTTTTGGCTTCCTTTGAGAGAATAAATTAAGTATTATAACTTGCACATAAGCTACATTGCATGAAAAAGGTGAATATGGAAAGGAAACAAAGGCTCTTGTTATTTTTGGCTGCCATTTTTTTAGTCGTCGATTCTGTGAGTATGTCTTTGTGCATTACTGGATTTTAACTGTGTGCATTTTGATATCTGTCAGATATTTTGTCCTGCACAAATTGACAAACCTGAAATTTCTCGATACTCGGAAAGTAACCAGGAGGGAGAGAGAGGAAGCCTTGATAAGAGGTGCCTTCATGAAAGTGGTGAAGCCCAAGGATGTGAAGGTAGGAGAGTAAATGAAAGTGGGAAGTGAAGGTAGGAGAGTAAATGAAAGTGGGAACAATTATATGATTCATTAACACTATTTTTAAATAACTCCAAGAGCCTGGCTGCATCTTTTGCTAAGGTAAAAAAAGAGGTGAAACCTTTCATATGAAAGGACTGATAAATGTGGTCAGATGGGGGACAAAAGCCTTAGTAATTTTTCTGTGTTTAAATGTAGAAATTTACAGGTACCTGTCTAATGGGCTGTGGCCATGTTATCAAATTTCTGGTTTCAACCTCTGTTTCACATACCAAAGTAACTAATATGTGTCACTGAGCTTAAAAGAATATTTTTACCCTGTCCAATGAAATGTAAAAACTGTGTGGCATACTTTTGTGAAAGAATGCAATTTTTTCTGTCAAGTTGTCCCCTGCCTTTTGTATTAAGCTTCTATTACAGAGCTCTCACACCTGTGGTGTTTACTGGCTTTTATGAACTAGTTGATTCTAATTTTGTATGATGTTACTTAACGTGGTGTCCTGCTAATAAACGTTGACAGCATCAGTGAGACAGTTTCAGTAATCTGAGCATTTAATACACCTTCCATCAACTCTGGGCATCCTGCTGAAGCAATCAGAATGAGAATGTGAATTCTCCACTTTGCCTTCTTTTTCCATTGTTGATCAGTACCTGATAACAGCAATCTGTGGTGTGCTCAGAGTGCTTTAGTTCTGCAGATCTTTCTTGAAATGCTGCTCAAGTTTTCAGTCTACTTGCTTTCTATTTGCTGCTTTTTCTCTAAAGTATACCATCAATAATTTATTGCAGATTTCCAATAATGCTGAATAATAATGTAGTGGTTATGGAAATGCACTGTTTGGTAGCATAACAGTGTTGCAGGATAAATGCATTATCATGACTACAATTGCAGTGTATTACAAATTAATTCAGACTGATTAATTTATAACTACTAAAATGTTAACAGTTCTAATACAAACATTGCTTTGATATTTTGTTTACCGCTGCCTTTAGTTATTTCAGCTTTACATATGTAATGAATGGAATAAGTTATTTTTAAGCTGTGATAGACATCCTATTCACAGCAAACCATCTTTGAATCTGGCCAAATGCAACAGCTGAACTGTGTTAGGTGTAGCATATGTATGTCATCTTTTACAATTCTTCTTATCTAATCAGATTTTGGGTCTGGTGAAGATTTAAAAAAATTATCTAGCAGTTAGATCTTTCATTTAAGAATCTACTCCATGAATTGCATCCAACTTAATAGTGTAAGAGAAAAAAAGTGTCTCTCAAATTTGAAGTTACTTTTCTGGATTAAACTTCTTTTTAAGTCAATAGCTAAGGGTAAATTACTTAAAAAATTTAGGGATAACATCTTTAACTTTTATATCTACAATTGAACCTTTTGTATAGCTTTGAATTATTTACCCACTAAATCTTATGGTAAACCATACACTTATTTCAGAAAATTTGCAGAAGGCTCCAATTTACTGTTGTTATTGTCATACTAAAGAGTTTTTTTCTTCTTTATAAATGGTTCAGTACAAATTACTGATGGTAAAATCATTGTAAATTATTTTTATGGCATGAATTAATGCTTCTTAAGGTGCTACAAAATTACCCTCATCATACAGTATTATATACATATCACAGAAGTGGCTAATTTAAAATAAATATTAAATTTGATGCAAGTATTGTAAAGCGCTCCAAATTGTTTAGAATTTGTGCTTATTTCCTAGGATATTAATGCTTACAGTACACATGCATGCAAACTCTTTCTATGTCTGAGAAGACTCAGAATTTTCTCTGCATATATGCTTTGAAATGCAGCTAAGTGTGTGTACAGCCATTGACAGCTCTGCCTGAAGACCACAGCCAGCAGCATTCCTCCATAAATCACAAAGATGATGTGCACAATAACTGTACTTTTGAGTTCTGTCATGTGTTATACATTGCATACATAATGGGTTTTTATTCTCTAGCCTTCCTATTTCCTGTCTTCTCTGTTCATCAGCTCCCCTCCCACATAGCTGTCAATATTTTTGACCAGCTTCAGCCAGATTTAACAGGCAGGTACTGGTAATATATTTTAAGCTTTCTGAAACTAGTTAGAGATTACACCTTGATCCAAACTCAGAGGAAGATTGCAGCATATCCAGTATTGGTCATCAGAAAAACTCCTTAATAAGTTGACATAGTGATATATAAGACCTTGGTGATAATCAACTTCCTAATAATTTTGTCTTTTTTATCTTTCACCTAAGGTAGCAGGCACAGGGTCAGCCTATGCTTACCGAGAATGGAGATGCAGTGATTAGTATTTATGTTGGTGGATGCCACATGAAAATCTTCTGCCAGATTTAGTAACAACAGTGGACCTTTCAGACCTGCTTTTTCAGGAAAAAGCTCCTAAAAACAACAAATGAACAAAAAATCCTAATTTACCTGTCTTTTTTTCCCCCATTATGATAAGCAGAAGATGGTGTGGCTTATTCAGCATAAAAGGCAGACTGATGATCTAAAGAGGCTGTGATGTGGGAAGTTGTTTTCATTTTAGTCTTGACATGAAATACTTGGGAGAGTAAAATACCCCACCAAGAAAAAAAATACACAAAATGAGAATAAAAGCAAGAAATTTCCATCTGACTAGTTTGTGTTTACTCAAATGCGAAAGTATCTAGCAATCACCAGTCATCACTGAGTCATAAATATTTTATTTTGTATAAATTTTTTTACTTTCATTATTCCCTATTTTATTTAACAGAACACTACACTTTCTTGTGCTTTGCTTCATTTCATCTTTTGTTGGAAATGCATCTGTTTGTGATATGACTGTCTTATGGAAAGATACAATCATTTATTAGAAAACAGTTTAATGTTACAATGCAGTATTCCTTCTCACGATGTAGGTGAGCTAAACTTCATTTTTCTGTTATGTTTATGTTTTCTTTTGTCAAAATATTGAACATTGTATCATGCCTGCTTTTAATAAAGACTGGGGAAGTCTGGCTGGATGAGAGGCATTGAGCCAGAGGAGGAAGGCTTGTTTAATGACCAGACCATGACCTCATTTCACTGGCATAAGTGTAGCTCAAAGTGGAAGATGCCTGTCCAGTGTGAAGTGTGTTTCTGGGCATGACAGCATTTCACATCAGAAAGACAGCTCAAGAATACGACAGTCAAAATTGCTTAATTGTGTCCCGGCTTTGTAATTATTCATCTGTGCTTCTACAAAGAGTACAGTTGTCATTTCTTGACATAATTATTTATAACTGTACCCCTCTTTGGTTTATAGGTATATGAATTGTGCTTCCAACTGTTTCATTTTTCAAACTTAGGGATGCAAAGCAAATGTGATTTGAGAAAATATGTTAAGACTACACATTTTTACATTGCATATGATATAAATGAAATGAAATTATGGTGTATCAAAGCACATAATTTCATATTTTAAAGGTCTGTATTCATGATAATTTAAGCTAGATGATAAAATGTGGATATATCCATTTAAGTGTGTTGCTATGAATAGATATACGCTGTCATAAGTCTCTTTAAATATAAACTTAATTATTTAATACTGGGTCAGTCTGCTTGCTTTTAGCAAATACATGTATTTCCCAATATTCCTCAACCCCTCTTCCCTTACTGCATTTTTTAAGGTTAACATTTTCATCTGTTTTAGTTTTGGTAGTGAAAAAAAGCAGATGGCATTTTTTCACCAGTAACAGTTTTGTAGTTTATAGGGCCAAATCATTGGCAGATATCCTTAGTTATACTTCCAATTAAGAAACTTAATATTAAATGGAGTTATTCTGCTTCCTTGCAGCTTTACCAAAAGCATCTTGTCCACTGCCTTTAAGGGAACTCCGTACAACAAAAAAAGGCATGGTATGGGTGGTTTGAATTTTTCAATATTTTTTCACTGTCAGATGCATTGTTTTCATCACAAGTTATAATTATGAAACCTGACATAGCATTTGTTCTCTAAGGAGCTAAGATGGAGACACTGAAGCAGAAAGGCAAGTCTAATATCTGCATTCCATGTAATAAATGTCTGTGATTCATGTCCACAGTGTTACTTGAAGTGTTATTTTATTACGATAGGAAGAGTAAATATTTAGGCAGTACCATTAAAGAAATAAGGTGAGATAAAATCTGCAGTGTTGCTTTCAGATCATTGGCAGTATTCTTGTGTTTAAGCTCATAGGAAAAGCTCTTTATCAAAGCGAGCAGTGCTGATATATGCTTCTATTAAGGTCAGATGAGGCATAAGGAATGATTTTAGTAATTTTTGTCCCAAACTATTTAACAAGAATCATACTTTTCTTGAATAGATATGTTCTACCTGCTTGCATGAATATAGGCAATACATTTTTGCCAATATATCTCATGGACCTTTTTACACTCCTCCCCCAGATAGGAAAATGAGGCTGGTTTTAAAAAGTAAGTGAAAGGAGACAGATAAAACTTTGGAGAACAGCTGCATTGCTCACAGTCTTTCTCTTTTTACTATTGCCATTGTGTAGAGATCTTGATGTGTGTATTTAGAGCATTTGAAGAACATGCAGAGTAAAGGACTTCTAAAGTATGAAGAATCATTGTGTCAGTGAACTGCCAGGTCATAAGATACCTCTTTGAGAGACCTTCCACAGAACAGGGTTTCTTATTGTCAGGTATGAAAATTTCACATATCAAGACAAAGACATGAATGTAAGACTCCAATTTAGACTGTGATGCAGTAAATAATATTTACTTTAAGGACATTGTAGCAGTCATGCATTCATCCATTTTACTCTTTGGAAAGTTTAGGTATTTTAAGCAGAAGTCCATAACATGTTTGGTTCATAACCTGCTGTAATTCCAGCTGTCAAGAGGGAAGAATGGACACGTGTGGGTCATATGTGTATTAGGGTAGGGAGAAAGACTCTTCTTCAGTGTTGGGTCTCACATTGATATTTCTCAAAAAATATCCTCATATGTTCTTTGGGCAGG